AAATAAAATCTTAAAAAAAAAAAAAAGAATATGTAACAATTGCAAATATTTATGCACCCAACATGGGAGCACCCAGATACATAAAGCAGATAATAACAAACATAAAGGAAGTAAGCAATAGTAATATGGTAATAGTAGGTGACTTTAACACCCCAGTTACAGCAATGGATAGATCATACAAACAAAATCAACAAGGAAACAGTGGCTTTGACACATAGGTACAGATGGATCTAACATATATTCAGAACATTGCATCCTGGAACAGTGGAATACACAATTGTTTCAACTGCACATGGAACACTCTCCAGAATAGATCATGTTAGGCCTCAAAACAAGTCTCAAGAAATTAAAAAAGACTGAAGTCATACCATGCATCTTTTCTGATCACAACACTATGAAAGTAGAAAACAACCACAAGAAAAAATCCAGGAAGAACACAAATACATGGAGGTTAAGGAACATGCTACTGAACAATGAATGGGTCAACCAAGAAATCAAAGAGGAAATAAAAAATATATGAGGACAAATGAAAATGAAAACACAACAGTCCCAAATCTTTGGAATGCAGTAGAGCTGTCCTAAGAGGGAATTTTACAGCAAATACAGGCCTACCTCAAGAAGCAAGAAAAAATCTCAAATAAACGACCTAACTTTACACCTAAAGGAGCAAGAAAAAGAAAAACAAACAAAACCCCAATCTGGTAGAAGGAAGGAAATAATAAAGATTAGAGCAGAAATAAATAGAAACTAAAAAAGAATAGAACAGATCAATTAAACCAGGAGCTGGTTCTTTGAAAAGATAAAAAAAATTGATAAACCTCTAGTCAGACTCATCCAAAGAAAGGGGGGGGTGTCTCAAATAAACAAAATCAGAAAGAGGAGAAATAGCAACCAACACCAGAGAAATACAAAGGATTATAAAAGAATATTATGAAAAATTATATGCCAACAAATTGGACAACCTAGAAGAAATGGGTAAGTTTCTAGAAACATACAACCTCCCAAAACTGAATCAGGAAGAAGTAGAAAATTCAAACAGACTTATTACCAGCAAGAAATTGCATCAGTAACAGCAATAATAATAATAAAAAAAACTCCCAACAAACAAAATTCCAGGACCAGATGGCTTCACAGGTGAATTCTACCAAACATTTAAAGAAGAGTTAATACCTATTATTCTCAAAGTACTTCAAAAAATAGGAGAGGAAGGAAAGCTTCCAAATTCATTCCACAAGGCCAGAATTACTCTGGTACTAAAGCCAGTTAAAGACACTACAGAGAGAGAGAACAACAGGCCAATATCTCTGATGAACATAGATGCAAAAATCCTCAACAAAATATTAGCAAACCAAATCCAACAATATCCTAAATCATTCACCATTATCAAGAGGGATTTATTCCTGGGATGCAAGAGTAGTTCAATATTTGCAAATCAATTAACATGATACATCACATCAAGAGAAAGGATAAAAACCATTTGATCATATCAATAGATGCAGAAAAAGCATTTGACTAAGCACAACATCCATTCATGATTAAAAAAAAAAAACCCTCAACAAAGTAGGTTTAGAAGGAATATACCTCAACATAATAAAGGCCATATATGAAAAACCCCACAGCTAATATACTCAATGGTGAAAAACTGAGAGCCTTTCCCCTAACATCAGGAACAAGTCAAGGATGTCCATCATCACTTTTAGCCAATACAGTACTGGAAGTCCTAGCAATCAGACAAGAAAAAGAAATAAAAGGTATCCAAAGTGATAAGGAAGAAGTAAAACTTCCACTATTTGCAAATGACATGATACTATATATAGAAAACCCTAAAGACTCCACCAAAAAACGACTAGAACTGATAAATGAATTCCATAAAGGTTGCAGGATACCAAATCAATATACAGAATCTTGTTGCATTTCTATACACTAATAATGAAAATGCAAAAAGAGAAATTAAGAAAACAGTCCCACTTACAATTACATTACAAATAATAACATACCTAGGAATAAACTTAAAGAAGTGAAAGACCTGTAGTCTGAAAACTATAAAGCACTGATGAAAGAAATTGAAGATGACACAAACAAATGGAAAGATATTCCGTGCTCATGGATTGGGAGAACAAATACTGTTAAAATGTCCATACTACCCAAATAAAAGGTTTAATTCAATCCCTATCAAAATACCAACAACATTTTTCACAGAACTAGAACAAATAATCCTGAATGTTGTATGGAGCCACAAAAGATCCCAAATAGCTAAAGCAATCTAGAAAAAGAACAAGCCACATGCAGAAGAATGACACTGGACCATTTCCTTACACCATACACAAATAGACTCAAAATGGATGAAAGACCTAAATGTGAGACAGGAATCCATCAAAATCCTTGAAGAGAACACAGGCAGCACCTCTGCGACCTCGGCCACAGCAACTTCTTGCTAGGCACATCTCCAGAGGCAAGGGAAACAAAGGCAAAAATGAACTATTGGGACTTCATCAAGATAAAAAAGCTTTTGCACAGCAAAGGAAACAGTCCACAAAACCAAAAGACAACTGATAGAATGGGAGAAGATATTTGCAGATGTCTTATCACATAAAGTGCTAGTATTCAAATTCTGTAAAGAACTTA